GAATGGTTTGACTTTACTTAGGTAAATAGGGAGGGCTTTACTTGTGAAGAGAACAGCAATATATGTAAGAGGGTGGAAGGAAAAACAGTCTGGAAAAATGCATCTCTTTGAGGTGCAGTTTGTTTGGAAGACTGAAACATCAACACAAACTTGCTTTGTGAAAAGCTGCGGTTCTGAATTTTTTCCTTAGCTACTAGAATCTTTGAGAGATTTTAAGCATTAGAATGATAGTCGTTTTTTTGCTAGATCACTTTGGCAGTAGTGGGGAAGGATTTAAACCAAGCTCATTTGGAGTGAGGAAAATCAATTTAGGCAAGAGGTAAGCATCTGAAATGTAGTGGCAGTGGTTTTGGAGAGGAAGAAATGAATTTAAGAGCTGTTAGTAGAATTCCTTGAATAAGAGGAAGGAGGCACAAGGAGAAGTCAACTATTATTCGGATTTCAGCTTTGATGTCCAGGAAAGTAAAGGTGTTTGAACTGCCAAAGGCTGAGAAGGTAGAATTCACTTAGTGTAACTCTGTGTGTTTATAATAGCAAGAATAATTATACAGGCTTCTTAACACAATATTGTATATCAAACTCAGAAATATTACATAATGTTGATTTCTATGTGCAGATAATCTCCTTATTTAAAAAATTAAAAGTTAGGAGGATATTGAAGATAGGAATACGGAAGTATTTAACAAATTTGGGATTATGCAGGTAGAACATTTTGATTTGTAGATTCATTAACTTATGTTTTAGAAACGTGTATTATTTTCTTGCTTACTTAAATCTTTGCTGATAAAATCAGATTGTAATAAATATTGTCCTGTTTTTGTTTTTCACTTAAAAATTCTAATTATATCCTTAATGAAAATTATTAAACTTACATTGAAAAATAATGAGGAAAATCTTTTTGTATTTCTTGAACATAAAAAACCATTAAGCTGCATATTACTTTAGTTTCCTTCATCTAAACAGTTGTAGCCAGTGTTTGAATTAAAATTTTTTCTCGTTACTAATTTTTTCTTTTTAAAGATTTTATTTATTCATTTGAGACACAGAGATAGAGAGAGAGCATGAGCAGGGAGAGAGGCAGAGGGAGAAGGAGAAGCAGGCTCCCCGCTGAGCCAGAGCCCGATGTGGGGCTCGATCCCAGGACCCTGGGATCATGACCTGAGCTGAAAGCAGATGCTTAACCATCTGAGCCACCCAGGCGCCCCACTAATTATTTTTTTTTTATTTTAGAGGGAGAGCTTGTCACAGGGCTCGATCTCAACGACCCTGAGATCATGACTTGAGCCAAAACTAAGAGTTGGATGCTTAACTGACAGAACCATTCAGGAGCTCCTTTCATTATTAATCTAAGAAGAGTTAACTAACATAGAAAAAAGTGTGTGTGTGTGTGTGTGTGAGAGAGAGAGAGAGAGAGAAGGAGATCGATTGATTCAGTTGATTGATTGATTTAGTGTGAAAAGTGCTTCTGCTGCCTTAGTAGCACAGAATAACCTGAAGAGAATATTGGTACACTTGACAAAAGTGGTCCCCAGTGTGTGTAGAGATCCTGGTGTGGAATGAAAAGTAGACTAGAGCTCAGGACATGACTACAGGGCTACAACTTAGAGTTCTGGTTATTCTTTTATTAATATTATTTTTATTGAAGTATGGTTGACATAAAATATCACATTAGTTTCAGGTGTACAACATAGTGATTCCACAACTCCATAAATTACACTGTGCTCATCACAAATGTAGCAAACATCTGTCACCATACAACACAATTACAGTGTCATTGACTGTATTCCCTATGCTGTGCCTTTTATCCTTGTGACTTACTCATTCCATAACTGGAAGCCTGTATCTCCTAGTCCTTTTTACTTGTTTTGCCCACCCCTCCCCACTCTTGGCCACCATCAGTTTGTTCTCTGTATTTATGGATCTGTTTCTGCTTTTTGTTTGTTTGATTGATTTTTTAGATTCCACACATAAATTATTTTGCTTAGCATAATACCCTCTAGGTCCATGTTGTCACAAATGGCAAAATTTCATTTTTTTTTAAGGGTAACATTCCTCTGTGTGTGTAAACATAGGGGTAGGTAAATCATTTCAAATTAGTTTTTTTGTTTGTTTGTTTGTTTTATTCTTTGGATAAATACCCAGTAGTGTAAACCCAGTAGTGTAATTACTGGATCCTATGGTATTTCTACTTTTTAACTTTTTTGAAGAACCTCCATACTCTTTTCCATAGGGGCTAACCAGTTTACATTCCCATTCGTAGGGAGTGAGGATTCCCTTTTGTCCACATCCTCATCAACACTAATTATTTCTTGTCTTTTTGATATTAGCCGTTCTGGCTGGCATGTGAGGTGATACCTCATTGTGGTTTTGATTTGCATTTGCCTGATTATTAGTAATGTTGATTCATCTTCTCATGTGACTGTCTTTGGAAAAATGTCTATTCAGATCCTCTGCCCATTTTTTAATTGGATTGTTTGTCTTTTTGATTTTGCATTGTGTGAGTTCTTTATATATTTTGGATATTAATCCCCTATCAGATAATATCATTTGCAAATATCTTCTCCTATTCAGTGGGTTTCCTTTTCATTTTGATGGTTTCATTTGCTGTGCACAACTTTTATAGTCCCAGGGCACCTGGATGGCTCAGTCGGTTGAGCGTCTGCCTTCAGCTCAGGTCTTGATCCTGGGGTCCTGGGATTGAGCCCTGTGTTGGGCTCCCTGCTCAATTAGGAGCCTACCACTCTCACTCCCTCTGCCCCTCCCCCTACTCGCTCTCTCATGCATCCTCTCTCAATAAATAATAAAAGTAAAATCTTTTTTAAAAAAAGAAGTCCCTTTTACATTTCTTGTAAGGTAGTTTAGTGATGATGAACCTCTTTAACTTGTGTTTATCTGGGAAACTCTTTAGCTCTCCTTCAATTCTGAATGCATATCTTGTCTGGTAAAGTATTCTTGGTTGTGGGTTTTTCCTTTCAGCACTTTGAATATAATCATACTACTCCCTTCTGGTCAGCAAAGTTTCTGCTGAAAAATCAGATGATAGCCTTATGTGGTTTCCCTCTTATGTAACTATTTGCTTTTCTCTTGCTGCTTTTAAGATAAAAAAGATTCTCACTTTATTTTTAATCTTTGACATTTTATTATCTGTTTTGGTATGGACCTCTCTGGGTTCATCTTGTTTGGGATTCTCTCTCTCTGCTTCCGGACGTGGATGTCTGTTTCCTTCCCCAAGTTAGGGAAGTTTTCAGTCATTATTTCTTCAGTTAAATTATCTGCCCCTTTTTCTTCCTTCTGGGACCCCTATAATGTGCATGTTAATATGCTTGATGTTGTTCAGAATCCTTAACCTGTCCTTTTTTTTTTTTTTTTTAATTTTTTTCTTCTTTTCGCTGTTCAGCTTGGGTACTTTGCATTAACACATCTTCCAGATTGTTCATCCATTCTTCTTCATTCTCTAATCTGGTGTTGATTCCCTCTAATGTATTTTTAATTTTGGTTATTGTATTATTCAGCTCTGATTGGCTCTTTTTAAAATTCTTTATCTCTATGTCAGAGTTGTTATTTTGTTCATCTACTCTTCTTTCATGTCTGGTGAGCCTCCTTATGACCATTACTTTGAATTCTTCATTGGGTAACTTGTGTATCTCCATTTCATTTAGTTCTTTTTCTGAGGTTTTGTCTTACTCCTTTTGTTTGGAACATATCTCACTATGTCCTCATTTTTCTGACTCTGTGTTTGTTTCTATGTATTAGGTAGGTCAGCGACTTCTCCTGATCTTGAAACCAGTGGTCTTATATAGAAGGCATCCTATGAGGCCAGGTAGTGCATTCACCCCGAGTCACTAGAAGCAGGTGCTCCAGGGGTATCCCCTGTGTAGGTTGTGTGTACACTTTCCTGTTGTGATTAAGCCATGACTTCTTTGGGGTATACTGGTGAGCAGGGCTGGCTGAGAGGCCTGGCTGTGACTGCGGTGGCCTTGCTGATGGTAGGGTTAGCTCTTGGCACACCTGGCTGAGTGGTCCAGCTGCAGCTGCTGTGAGTATGCTTGTAGGAGAGGCAGTGTCCCTGAGGGGTTGCTTACTGGATGTGATGTTGTGGGAGTTGCTTTGGAGGCACACATGGGGTTTGGCTGCTTGAGTGGTGGGTGGGTCCACAGGCAAATGCTGGGGAGGGGTAAACAGTGCGAATAAGGTAGATAGATAGTGTCAAAAACTGGCACCTGCAAGTGTCTGGTCAGCTAGGCTGAAGAAGGGCAAGAAAAATGGTGCTTCCCAGTATTTTCATTCTTGGAGAAACCTCCTGTATATCCTGTCCCTTCCACACATGCCCTAAACTTAGTCAATGAATCTCTTTCATGTGTAACCCAGGTACTTTTCAAAGTGCTAAGTGATATAATGCACTGGCCCTTTAAGAGCAGAGTCTTTGTCTTATAGCCCTCCAGCTTTCCCATAGTTAAAGCCTACTGATTTTCAAAGCTCTTGGAGTTAATCTCTGCTGATTTTCAAAGCCAGGTGTTATGGTGGCTTGTCTTTGTGGTGTGATTCCCAAAGTCAGGGTGCCTGACTTGATCCCTTCACTCCTCAGTGAGGACCTCCACACCTGTGTTATCCCTCCCACTTTTGGGTCGTCAGCGGGGGATTTGGTTCCCGACTGCATCTCTGGCCCTCATACCTTTTTCAGTGTGCCTTTTCCTTTATTTTTTTTAACTGTGGAAGATCTGTTCTGGTAATCTTCAAGTCATTTTCGGAGTGAGTTGTATTGTATGTAGTTGTTGCCTTGGTGCCCAAGGGAGGAAGTGAATTCAGGATCCTCTTACTCAGCCATCTTTCCCTGCTCCCAAGTTTTGGTTACTCTTTATTATATATGTTGTGAAACATTAATTTATTTTAACCAAAACATAATAATTTGATAATATAAATTAGTTTTGTTTATAGCAAAGATCATGAGGAATTTATAAAATTTAATTTCAGTACTTTTGGTTTTTTCCTCCTTCCTTTAGATCGCGTAATGAAGAAAACTGAAGAGTCTGAATCACACCTGGAGTCTGAAATTAAAAGGAAAGTACCACAGAAACGTCACAGTAGCACATATCAGTCTCCGCCTCCTCTGTCTCCTGCTTCAAAAAAATGTTTAACTGATTTAGAGGTGGGTGGAGAAATTATTCTCTGTTGCTCATCAGTTGGTATTTTTATCAATATTATTTTTAGTACTTACTAAATTCTAGGTGATCTTTTCTTACAGGACTAGAAAAGACCTAGAAAAGTTATTTAAGCAAACTTTTCTGCCTTCATTATGTCATTTTTTCACTATCCAAAATGTAGAACATGTATGATCAGTGCCTTCCTGCAACATACTCCAAATAATAGCTCTCAACCAGAAATATTTTGAAATAATTTAAAATAGTTTACAAAAAGTTGAAGAAATAACAAAAAGATTTTCCGTATACCCTTCTATTAGATTCTCCATTTTTCCACATTTGATATATTGTTTTCCCTCCGTCTGCCTTCCTTCCAACTTCCCTGTGTGTGTATGTGTGTGTGTGTGTGTAAGTGTGTGTGTTTCTGCACCATTTGAGTATAAGTAACAGACATCCCCATTTATCACTTAATACTTTAGTGCATGTTTCCTTAAAAAAGGCAGGGGAGGGGGGTGGAGAGGAGACATTTTCCTGCATAACCAGAGTGCAACTGTCAAAATTTAAAAATTAACATGGATCCAAAATTACTGTGTAATCCACAACTCCATTCAAATTTCACCTAAGTAATGTCCTTTATCAGAACAGGATCCAGTTCAGGATTGTGTTATATTTAATTGTTATGATCTTTACTCTTCTTTAATCTGGAATAATTCCTTAGTCTTTCCATGTCTTTCATCACCTTGATATTGTGGAAAGTATGATGTTTCTTCATGATTTATGCATTTTTCAAGAATCTTCTGAAGTGATTCTGTAATCTTGTTGCATCATATCAGATTGCATACAGTGTTGATTTTCACATTGTAACTTCTATCTTAAGATGTACTTTCCTAGATTTGTCCACTGTAAAGTTAATTAGTAGGTATTTCTTATTTATTAATAAGATGAGCTACTGTAAGATAGGCTACTTACTTTAAGGTAGAGTACCTTACAATAGCTCATGAATTAAGGAGAAGCTACTATAAGGTAGAGGGTTTCCTTATCTTATATTTACTTATGTATTCCTTTATATCAGCACAGATGTATAGATTCCTTTTTTTTTTTATTGAAGTATAGTTGACACAACATGGATTCTTACTCAAAAAAGTTATATTCTGTCACTGTTATTATTTTGATGCTCAAATTGTCCCAGTCTTAGTCCCTGGGAAGTTCTTTAAGCTGGCTCCTCTTTGTTTTTCACACATACACATCATTCTCTGAGTACTTCCCTTAATTTTTGATGTAATCAGATAGTCTAGACTTCTTTGTATCTCTCTCTCTCAGCTCTAGAGTCATTCATTTCTCCAAGGAGCCATTGTTCCTATAAGTGGTGGAAAGATATTTTGGCATTAGTTATGCTTGTTGCTACTTGGTATCATGTTTATAGACCCTCTTAGTGGACAAAACTAGTAAATATATGTGTGTCTATATGTTAGTATTTAGTACATGTTAAAATCCATGAATTCATCTGGAGCTGCCTTGAGATTGAGTTGAGGCAAAAAAAAAAAAAAAAGCCCCCCGAAAAATAATAAAATAAAATCCATGAATTCATACTGATAATTCCAGTTCTAGTCTAAAGCCACAGTGTTTATCTTAGTCTTTCCCACTTTGCATGTTTGTAACTTCCTTCTCTGGCTGAGAAACCTGACTTCCATCATATCCAGTGTATTTACTTATTGGCTTTAGTTGCTTTTTATTTGATTATTTTCCTGGCATGCCAGCCTAAGCTTGGCTTAGGCCATACTGGCATTTCCCCACTACCTTGCCCACTGCTTGATTCAGGTAAAGAAGAATGAGAAAAGACAAAAGCTCCCCCAAGACACAACATCCTTCCCTAGGCAAGCAAGCTGAAAACATCAGAATTTTTTTAACATCCAAAATACATCTTTCTTTTACTTTTCACTTCTATGCCAGTTGTTATTATTCTGTTCTTAGTGAAAATAAAGAATAGATTCTAGCCATCCTCTGTGTAATTTTTAATTCTTAGACAAGATTAGTGGAGTTTTTTTCCCCCACATGTAGTCTCTGAAATGCTACGCTCTGTACTGCTTATAAGGAAACACAGTCTTTGATATTTAATGAGATTATACATCTTAAGGCTATTTACTAAAAATGATGTCTCAGTGGTTCTTGTGAGAGAGAGGCTCATTCTTATTAAGTATAATTGGTTATTATTTATGTATAAAGCCTGGCAGATAGTATGTATTAGTGATTTTGATTTGTTTTGTAAAAGTCTACCTACCAAAAGGGGGGAAATGATACTTTAATTAGTCTTTGTTTTCCAAAAGAAATTATATCTAACATGAAATTGTTATGGAAATATACAACTTTAGACACACTTCACTAAAAGTAATTGAGCAGTATTGAGATTCTAGTTTTGAGATTCCTAGGTTGATAAAATTCTGAATCTCTAGTTTTTATCATGGAAAAATTTAATATTATATTCGGTTCAGCTAACCTGCATTTTGTTTTTAATTGTTGCAAATAGTTCCAAGGTATGTGTTTCTTAGCTGATGGAAGGCATATGATAATAGCTCACAATATATTTCATTCTGTATTTTAATATCAGAAATTTTAACAGTGTGTGCTTTTTCTGTTTAATATCAATTTTATAAAAGGAAATACGTGGAAGTATCACCTTTTCATGTGGTTTTGTTCATTGAAATATGTCCTATTAATCTTTATTACAAACAGTGAAAAATTGGAGGCAGTCAGTACCCAGCTTGATCATTTTCATTATGAAAATAGTGGGGTTTAGCTTTTTCTTAGACGATTAGGTATTTTATTGCAGGATGGCATGTAGATGGAGATTACTTCTTTATGAGTTTTCCTTTTAGGTGCCTTGGTACCTGGCCAACCATTTGCAGTTCATTAGTGAATAATTGCATTATTTCATTTAAATATAGAGTTGACCCTTCAACAACACAGGAGTTAGAAGTACTGACCCCCTGAATAGGTGAAAATCTGCATATAACTTTCAACTCCCCCAAAACTTTATTAATAATCTACTGTGTTGACTGGAAGCCTTACCAACAACACAGGCAATTAACACATATTTTGCATGTTATATTATATACTGTATTCTTACTATAAAGTAAGTTAGAGAAAAGAACATGTTAAGAAAATCATAAGGAAGAGAAAATACATTTATAGTACTGTACTGTATTTATAAGAAAAAAATCATCATGTAAGTGAACTGTGCAGTTCAAACCTGTGTTGTTTAAGGTTTAACTATACTATTATTTCTTTCCCTTATTGACAATAGGCTAGAATTTCAGTTAGATAATCTGTCCCATATTTGTGTCTAACCAGTTGTTTGCATAGTTCACCTGCTAACTATGCATCCTAAATACACAGGGCCCTATCAAAAGTGCTATGAGAAAAATAAATTCCTTAGACCTAGACTCCACAAGTAGTATAACTGAATTCTAGACAAAACTATGTACTGGCAGAGAAAGAGACATGTTTTTTTTGTTTGTTTGTTTTTTTAATCTACCTATGCTGAGATAGTGAGCTGATGTTCTCCTAAGTTCACCTTTGCCTTGGTTGAAGCTTGGTTTCATTCTTTGTTGTTATCTGGGGTAGATTCTTGAATAGGTAACATAGTATAATAGAACGGCTTGTTGTGGGTCATGTAGGACAAGGTAGATAATTTTTGTCAGTTTTCCCATCTTTAAAACAAGGAGATAAGACTATAACAGTGGGCTTTAGACTTTCTCTACGTATTTTTGAGTTACAAAATTAAGTAGAAGAAATGTATAGACCATGAGCATTTAGCTCAGTGAATTTTGAAATTTATGTTTACACAAGTGATCATATATAACTACCACTTACAAGTCAATCCTCCTACAACTGCTTGATGACTTCTGTCACCTAAAAGACTTTTTTAAACAACTATGTATTCTCTTACGTATTTTTAAGTTGACATTCAACATTTTTTGTTTCAAGTTTAAATGGTTACATAGGATGTTATAGTTGACACAGTAAAAGGAATAACATTTTAATTCATTTTCTTCATATATGGATCTGGTAGCATCCAAATACTATAGCACTTAATAATTACTATCTCTAAAATCTCACTGCCAGAAGTATTTATCCACTTATTTCTTATGATATAAGGCTCGAAGTGTAAAAAAATTTCTTTTTGATTGAGTTATTTTGGTTTTTATTGGTAGACTTTTGATTAAAACTATGTTATAGTTTGATAAGTAATTATTTGACATAAAAAGTAAAGTTATTGGAAATATGTGTCTTAATTAGAGACATTGATTGTTTTCCTCAATTCCTGTGTCCATGAATAAATATTATGTTGCATATTGAGATAGGATTCAACATCTCTTCATGTTTTTCCTTCTTATAGTCATATGTGCTAAAGAACCTTTTTCACATAAATAAGTGTATGAGTATGAAAACAATCCTTGAACTCTTAAATTATATGTCCCAAATCAAAGGAAGCTCTACCACCAAAAATATTTTTTTTTATCTTATCAGTTTTTATTTCTATAGGTTTTTTTTTCCTTTTTTTTATTCTTATGTTAATCCCCCACCAAAAATATTTTTAATAATCTCACAATTGTAATCTAGATTAGGCCTTCCTTAAAATATTTTTGAAGCACTGTCTTAGAAATCAGTTGTCTTGTAAAAGTTTTTGTTAACCAATAATTAGAATTGATTATTTTTTCCAACATTTAAAATTATCCTTTGGTTTCATGGTTTTTATACTCCAGGGTAGTATACCGTTGTAATATTTCAAATGGAAGTTGAGCGCTTTTTTTTAACTATGAGAACAGTTCTGGCAGGAGATAATTTTCCATCAGAGGCATAATCAAGTCAGGTTTTGGAATGATATGTGGAAATTGAAGATTTAGATATTTATTCCATTAAGATTATTTATGCTCTGTATGCCATAGAAAATCTTTATGTAGCCATTTAGTAGTATACATGGACTAGATGGGTCCAAAAATTCCTTCCAGCATCCTGATGCTAAATCCCAAGTAACATGATGTATTTAGTATTTAGCATTTTGTGGTAGCCTTGGTGATGATGATGGGGAGTAAGAGACTTAATTTTGAGATCTTACTTTTTATTCCATGATGTTGAAATAAAATGCCAAAGTCTTTTTTTTTTTTATTCTTTTGGAACTTAAGGTTTCTAAACAGTGTGGATATTGTCCAAAATGTGGAAAAGAAAAGGAAAATCAGACCAAATGCCAAAGTTGTGGTATTCTTTTTCCTAAGGATTTGCAAAGAAATTGCAGACAAGCTATAACTTTGAGTGAATCTACTGGACCATTATTAAGAACATCAATTCATCAGAATTCTGGAGGACAGAAGGCACAAAACACAGCATTACCATCCAAGAAGTTTTATGGCAACAGTGTGGGAAAGATTCCAGTTGATATTATTGTGAATTGTGATGATAGTAGACAGAATTATTTACAGACTAATGGGAAAGTCATTTTACCTAGGGCAAAAGTAGCCAAAATCACAAACCTGAAAGAAAGGAAAACAAGCCTGTCAGACCTAAATGATCCAAGTAAGTATTTTACTCCCTTTAGTATTACTTATATCAATCCAATATTTTTTACATATATTTTTAATGTGAACATGAGCATATTTGAGAAGTGTAGTTTTAATAGGTATCTCTTGTGTCAGTTATGTAACATGTTTTTTGGGTAGATGATTAAAACTGTCCATGTAGTTGGAAAATAACTGACTTTCTTCTCATCCTGTCCATCTTAAATAGTTAAAAAAAGAAAAGCACAGACCTTGGCCCTAGTCATAGGTCAAATGCCAGTTAATGCCCAACTTTCTAGCTTTGGCTCAGTTAATTTAATCTCTCTGATTTGTAAATGGATTATTTTCTGCCTGACAGTGTTTTTGAGGAAGTAAATAAAATAACATTTAAACTGCCTAGCAAAGCCCAGTAAATAAAGTATTTGATACACAGAAAGGACTCAGTGAAAATTAGTTCCCTTGCCACTTTTACTCTTCCCCTAAATCTTTTTCCTACCTTTAGACATAGGTGCATATATGTGTGTATATGAAATGCAGTCCTGTTTATAATAAATAGCCAAAGACTGGAAACAATCAGGAAGTAGTTGAATAAACTATAGTACACATAGCTGTAAAAGGATGTAAAAGCTGTACATATTCTGTAGAATGATTTCTAAGATCTTTAATAACATGAATAAAGCAAGGTACAGATCAGGGTGAATATGTGCTGCCCTTTATTTGTGAAGGGCAGGAGAATGAATATAGGGATTTTTTTAAATGGAAAGATATACCAAAAACTAATTTTAAAAAGTAGTTGGTTAGAAGGGAGGAAACAATGTAGGAATTAGGGATAGATGTTAGATATTTCCAAACAAACTCTTTTTTTGTAGATTTGACTTTGGAACCATGTAAATGTTTTACATGATTATAAAACAAAATTAAATTGGAAGTTTAAAAAAAAAACCAAAACCAAGATGAAACTAATGAACCTATTTATGTATCTAGTCGGTGGCTTGAACACACAGGAGAATTCTTTCAAGTGAATTTAAATTAAAATAATATTGTGGCTATACATTCCTAATGTGATATATTTTAAGGTTAAATAGAATTGCAAAGAAATCCTAAGTGTACTTAGTAATATTGTTATTAATAATATTGGTATTGTTATTTTTAACCACATATATTGATAAAGCAATAAGCAATATAGTGTTTCCAGAAACCAGGATTTTCATTGTTAGTGAAAGGGAGTTCAAAAGTAAAATCAGAGAAATAAAAATCCCATAATTTTAAGCTTGAATTGGACATAATAGTGTGAGATTATTATATATATTCTCTTAAATAGAAGTGAACAATCCTAGTTCCCATATTTGTGTTTTTTGAATACCATTTCTAAGTAAAAATAACTAGAACTTCTCAGAGAAATGGCTGACTCCAAGTCCAGAGCAGGAGTATATTTAATAGATCTAGATCATCTACTCATGTCAGGAAGCATGGAAGCAGTCAAAAACGGCTATGGACATGTCAAAAGGACACAGGAGCTAAAAAAGAAAGGGCTCCTACTGACCAGTAATGGGACTGGTTGGGTCATAAAACGTATACCTATTTATTGAAATATGTCAAATATATTAAAATTAATTAGCTCATAATGATATACCCCCAAAAGAAGAAAAGCTCTCCATTGATTACCTTTGGAGGTTGCTTAGGTTCCAAATCATTACTTTAAAAACTGGTAAATAAAAGGGGATAAAATTTAAAAAAATTTTTTAACCTGGGAAATATGTCAAGTTCTATTTTAATTTGAGTCAATGTAAAAACCTTAGCTCATACCAGTACATTAGCTTATTTTTCAAAAAGAACTCAGGGGTGTCTGGGTGGCTTAGTTGATCAAGCTTACAAGTCTTGGTTTCAACTCAGTTTATGATCTCTCAGGGTCATGAGCTTGAGCCCCACATCAGGCTCTGCGCTCAGCTCAGAGTCTGCTTGAGATACTCTCTCCCTCTCCCTCTGCCCTTCTGCTCATGCTCTCTCTCTCTCTCTCAAATAAATAAATCTTAAAAGAACTCAGTTAAAAAAATGATTACTGTATGATGAGTGTCTAACCAACATTCTGTTATATTATGATGGTGTTGGTATTTGATGAGTATTTTATGATACATTTTAGTGTTATACCAGTACAATATTAAATATTGTTAATGTCATTTGAATCTTTCCTAATGGTGAGGTTTTTACATTTTAATGGTTAGATATGAAGAAAACTCTCACTAAGTAGTTATTGGGTACTATTACTGAGCCAAATGTTATATAGGAAACTTACCATCCTGAGGAGATTTCTAGGATGAGAGAACTAGAAGTTAATAAGGCTAAGGTGGTAAGTTAAAAAGAAAATAAATTTATGTGGTTTTGAGGTGCCTTAAGTGGTTTAATATTCAGAGCTTGACTTAGGACCATATCAACCATGAATTAAAACCATAAAGCATAAATTTCATTCACTCCCCTGCTCAAAAAAGGAAAAAAAAAATGAAGACTAAGTATTTCCCATTAAAATACGTGGAAAAATAGGTTTTAAGAATCTTTTTTATTAGTAATAAAAAATATCATTTATTGAATGCTTATGTGCCTTGCTTTGCATGTGAGGTAGACATGAATACATCCCATTTTATAAATGAGGCAACCTAGGCTTAAGGAGCTTAACTTCTCAATATTGTATACTTAGGGACTGTTTGAGTTTAGATTTTCATAAAACAGGTTTTTCTGGTTCTAAAGTCTGTTTTCCTTATATACTTAATCATTCTTAAATTTGTATTCCTATTAAAGTAGTTTATTATCATGAAATTTTTATTATGTCCTGGGTGGTCAAATAGTAAATAAAATGTACAGTGTCTCAAGTAGTGGTGATAAATTCTGTGTAGAAAAGTGAAGGACGGTCCAAGGAATAGAGTGTGCTAATTGTTAGGTGTCAAGATGAGGAAGGGTGCTATTTTAGATAGGTGGCAGAATAGGCACATTTGATAAAGCAACTGTTGAAGAGAGCCCAGAATGAAGTAAAGAGAAGGATGTGCTGATATCTATAGGAACAAGATGGAATATAAGTACAAAGATCCTGTATTAGTGTGTTTGGTTTTCCGTAACAGAATACCATAGACTGAGTAGCTTAAACAACAGAAATTTGTTTTCTCACAGTTCTGGAGACTGGGAGTCCAAGATCAAAGTGCCATCATTTTGTAGACAGCCACCTCCTCACTGTGTCCTTACACGGCCTTTCTTCTATGCTTGCATAGAGAAACCTCTGCATTTCTTCTTCTTATGAGGACACCAGTCCTATTAGATTAAGACCTCACTTTTATGACCTCATTTAACCTTTATTAACCTCATTTAACCTTCTTACCGGTTGTATCTCCAAAAATAGTCACGGGGTTTAGAGCTTTAACATATGTATTTTGAGGGGACACAATTCGTCCATCATAGACCCTGATGCAGAATCTTATATATCACATAGAATATACAGAATGAAATTAGCTATGAGAACAAGATTTTTAAGTATATGGTGTCTTTGCACACTTCCCACTTGCTTTGCAATTATGGTGTCATTGAGCACAACCCTCATTTATTTTAAGTTAATAAAACAAGAGCCACGTAGTATGATTCTATCTGTTGCAGGATTGGGGCTTTTAAATGAATTTTTTATATAGTAGATAGAGAGGTTTTAATGTCCCTGAAGCATCATAAAATTATCAATGGAACAGTATGCTTCCTCTTTAATATATATGTTTCTATATGTTTTTTGTAAATAAATTATGTAGTTCATGAACTTTTTTTTAAAGTTTATATATGTCAGGCACTGTGCTAAACCTTTTATATATTAAATCGTTTGTTCTTGTGACAGTTCTTTGAAATAGGTACCATTTTAGACCCTGATTTCACAGAGAAGAGAAACTGAGGTAAATAGTAAATTAAAAAACCCTAACTTTCAAATATGTATAAATCTGCTTAGACCTGCTAATCTGGCTTGTTAGGTTTTTTGTTAATGAAATGGTTCCAAAAAGATCCAGTTAAGCATTTGCTCTTGAGACTAGACAGCAAAATAAAAAAGACAAGTGGAGTGATGCTGGGATTATGCCTCTCTGGGGCATGTGTATTACTCAAAAAATATTAACTAAACATTTACATATGGGATTCTAAAAAAAAATTGCTTCTACAAGTTTATGTGTTCTTCAACACATGATTTTTGAATTCTTTTTCTTCACCAGGCGGTTTTAGACTCAGAATATAGCAGTGAACAAGGCAATGATCCTGCTCTCTCATAGTTTTTATGTAGTGAGGAGAGAGCAAGTAAACATCTACAACAAAAAACAACAGAAAATTTATATCACAGTTGTTATGAATATGCCAAGTACCTGTGTGCTTACTTTAGATTGGGTAATCAATCAAAAAGCTAATATTTGATGACAGAAATGCAAAGTGTTAGGGGAATTGCAATCCAGACAAAAACAAGCTGTGGAGTTTGAGGAACAGAATATAAATGGATGGTGTGCCTAGAGCAGAAAGAGGGGATAATAGAGTAGTATAAGAAAGTTGAAGTAGGCAGTGGCCAGATTATGTACATTTATAAACCATAGTAAGGAGTTAGGGTTTGACTCAAGTGCATTGTGGGTGGCTCTGGGGAATTATGATATAAAGATGGGTTTGATAAGACCAGTAATGAGCAGAAGGTCTAAGAGCAAATTCCCTTCATAATATCTTTTCATGCCCATATTCACTTACTCCACAGAATTTACTGAGCAGTGAACACTGGTCCACATTCTCCCAAGGACCAATTATGATTTTAGTGATTTCCTATGTGAAATAAAATTATTTGGTCACATGGAGTTTCACACACATTTACAATGCATGCTATTTAGAATGCAGATTATCTTCATTCTTGAGACTTTCTAGAACCCTGAAATAGATCTATGATAAACATTTAAATTTTGCTATAACTTGTGTATATTTCCTGTGTGGGTGATGGTAATGGACTACAGAATAATTTCATATTTGTATATTCTATTTAAAAAAAGCTAGTTCTTATGCTTTTTTTCATTTTTAATTGTCTCCAAATTTAACTTTTCATCAGAATGGATTGTATCTTCATTCATTTTTATTAATCTCAGTTCTGGAAGAGATCCAAAGCAAATTTGGTATAGTTCCTGCTTTGGTATAATATATTTACATATTTAACTGACAGAAATGAAATACCTGAAGTATTTAACATTTTCTTTATAGTAATTTTGTCCAGTGATGATGATGATGATGACAATGACAGGACTAACAGAAGAGAAAGCATATCTCCTCAACCTGCTGATTCAGCATGTTCTTCCCCAGCACCATCCACTGGAAAAGTAGAAGCAGCACTAAATGAAAATATCTGTAGAGTAGAGCATGAACTAAGAAGCATTCCAGCAGATTCAGAGTTAAATACAGTTACATTGCCAAGAAAAGCAAGAATGAAAGACCAGGTACTTTTCATATTTATTGCCATTTATTCAGATTAAGTCCCTCCTTTGGGATGTAAATACTTTTTTTAGAGGGAAATTTGGCAGTGTCATTAGGAGAAAAAGATAAATTATTCATTAAGTGGGGCTTAAGATAACCAATTGGAAGATTATTTAAAAGAACATTAAAACATATACAGAAATAAATTTCTATTAAATTAAAAGCTTAAAATGTGAAAAATTCAACAAGAAGAAACAACATCAATTTTATAGTGAAATATAAGTATGAATATTTGTATAATGTAGTGGACAGGAAGAAGTCATTTTTAACTTGGATGTATTATACTATGATACTATTGTTTGCTATGTTTTATTTTATATTTTAATATATAAAAATTTCAAAATGTTCAGGTGGCAAACGATAACAGAAATTATGTCAATAAATGGATCTAGAAAGGAATGTTTGTAATTTGTAATCTAAAGATAGAAAAAGACAAAAAGGGGAGAAAATTCAGATGAACTTAACACTTTAAAAATTAATACAAAATCAATTAATATGGACTGCTGGCTAGACTCCAAGGGAAAGGGTACTTTTCTGATTTGCAGGTGGAAAAGAAAGTTGTTATGGCCTTTTGGGAAAGCAGTTGTAAAAACATCTATTAAAATTTTTTAATGTGTGCTAAATGACCAAAATATTCATTCCCTAGACTCAGTCTCAAACTTTTCCCTACAGAGAGGGAGTATCTAAGACCGTATGTATAAACATGATTATTGGCAAACAAATGCAAACAGAATCATTGTTCATTAATACGAAGTGGCTGGAGAAATTATGGTATATCCATACTGTAGACTATTATGCAGCCATTGACTAAGAATTAGAGCTGTATAAATGACTTTTAGGATTTCTACATGGTATTGGTAGGTGGGAATACCAAGTTACAGAAATTTATGCATATTTTTTTATTTTTAGAAAAAGAACTTTTTTAAAAAATAAAAACTTGTATGTTAAAAAATTACATATACATGTCAGGAATTGTTACCAGTATAGATAAAAATATGGAAACATATACTTCGTTGTTAAGATGGAAAACAAATGAAAAACAAAGTAACTATAATGATGCTAGAAGAATATGGATTATTTTTAATATAATTTGGTAATGCCTTTTCAAGCATTTCAGCCAAGCAAAAATAGTAAATGAAGAGATGAATATATTTTATTAAATGGAAAGTACAGAACAGTGTACCAAAACACCATAAGCTGAATTTGATAGGTAAATGTGAGTGGGGGAGAAACAGTGAACTGTGTGACAGTGTGAGTTGGTCCTTTATGTATTTTTGTTTCTTAAAAATCAAGAAATGGAAGCAAACCATAGAAAAATGAGTAAAGGAAATGAATAGTTTTAAAAAGGTAATGAAGTATTGAAAATGAAATTAAAATACATTTTGTTAACTGTCAGATTGTTGAAAATTTTTGAAGTATGTAATAGTGTTCATTTTGGTTAGTGTTTGGAGAAATGGAAAGTTGAGTGTGTAAATTGGTATAGCTAAGCTGGAGGGCAGTTTGACAGTAGTTATATAAAATACCATGATTTAGCTGCAAAAATGCTTGGAGGAGAATAGTGTGTCATGGGGTAAGGTCAGAAAGAACTCATATATCCAGCCTAGGATGGTTCAATGAAATAAATAATGAATTTCCATATGATGGAATTTGTGGGTGAACAGTTTTCAGACTGGCACACTGAATAATAAGGGTTCCTCAGTGCTCTTTTAGAGGCTTCTTGGGAGGATGTGGACCACCCACTTCTAGACTCAGTCTCTCCACTTTGGATTCAAGTGGAGCAGCTCTTAAATTATGTATTTTATTAATGAACTAAATAACATTTCATTTGAAGAAATAATTCTGAAACTAAAAAAAGGGCTTTAAACCTCTTTAATAGGTTTCTATTAATAATTTTGGAAAATATTCATGATTAATCTGTAATAAGCCTGAAAAAGCAGTTTGGAGGGTGTGTGTGTGTGTGTAGTGTGTGTGTGTCTCTGTTTTGTTTTAATACATATTTTTTCTTATGCCATACATCATAGAAATATCTCTAGAGGGACAATGGGAAAATAGTGCCTATCTCTATGCAGTGGATTTTTTTTTCTTGCCTTCTGTCAAGATCATGTTTTATTCTTGTGATAATAATAAAATTTTTAGCATAACTTCAGTACAATTAAATTATATACTCAAAATAATATATTATGATTAATTTGCATGTGGAAGTGGCTGAAATCTTAATAGATCAAGTACTTTAACATTTTAAAATATATAAAGAAGAATCTTTTTGTAAATAACCATTCACCTAAGTACCTGTTTTCTAAAGAATTCCTGATTTAGGGATGCCTAGATGGCTCAGTCAGCTAAGCGTCTGCCTTCTGCTTGCGTCATGATCCTGCTGGGATCAAGCCACATCGGGCTTCCTGCTCAACAGGGAGTCTGCTTCTCCCTCTGCCCCCCACCCCCTTTCTGCTTATGGTCTCTTTCGCTCTCACCTCTCTCTCAAATAAAATCTTAAAAAAAAAAAAAAAAAGAATTGCTGATTTAATCCAAGCATTATAACCACTACCACTATTACTAGCTAACTTTCATCTAACATTTTACTGTGCATGAAGCACTGTGCTAAGTTGCTTGTATACATTAGTTCATTTGAATACTCAGTATTTTACAGTTTAGGAAATCAAAGGAGTTATTATTTTAAAAATCAGATAATTAAAAGGTGGTATAGCTGTGATTTGAACCTAGGCAGTCTGATTCCCAAATTACCATTTCTCAATTCTGTGCTATTAATGGAATATCATGTAATGACTAGATAAGGTATAGCTGGACAAAATAGGAAGGATTTCTATTGTATGAAATCAATAAATATTCTCCTGTTGAAGTAAAATCAGTCTTTTATGTTTTGATAATTACATTTTTTTATGTTGCATCCTCTTTGCATATGTGTACTTAGTTTGCAGCCTTGTGTTAGTTGCTTAATTAAGTGAAAATTTATTTTTCTTTTTCAGTTTGGTAATTCTATTGTCAACACACCTCTAAAACGTCGTAAAGTGACATCTCAAGAAACTTTAGTTGATCCTGTATCTTTAAGCTGCCAAAGTTCCTTTGACAGTGTCATTTTAAACTGTCGAAGTATACGAGTAGGAACACTCTTCCGGCTATTAATAGAGCCTGTAATTGTAAGTACATTCTTAAGCTTTTTACTGTACCAATTATGAGATTCAAAATTCCATAGGGAAGGCTAATATATAATATTTAAAAATTTTTAAATTAAAATGTTTAACTTAATAGAATATTAAAAATTATTTCAAGATTTCAAATTGCTTTAAGAGAATATAGACAAGTATAAACAGCTCCTTACAATAAAAATCAATGGGTAAAAACTTATAATGTAATGTTTAAGGTAGTGACATATTCATCATAGAAAGATACTTATTCTCACTAAGTTAGAAAACCAGTATTTTACTATTTTATTTTCGTGCCAGCTCAGTGCATGAAAAGAGTATTTTAAAGAACGATAATGAGAGAAAGAAGGATCCAAAAGCTTTGGGAGCTGCAGAAAAATGTCTTTTGCAGCATTAAGACTCTTAGATGATTGGAATAAATTGCCACCCAAGAGGCATTGTGCTTTTGGACTAGTTCATTGTCCACAAAGCCTAAAGGACTTTCTGTAGTCCTTATTATACTTATCATACTTGTTAATTCTGCTGCCACCAGTCTAATTCAAATGCATATTTTCTATTTGAAATTTTAATATAATCTCCTTAACCAGCCTTCTTAGTCATCATTTTTCTTTTTTCTAATGTATTGTACACATTATTGATAGATTAATCTCCCTATAGCACTGCACTTAGTTTGTACCTTTTATTTTATAATGACTTAACTTGGTGTCCCCAGCTGTCTGTTTTCATCTATTCTTTCAAACCTGGTCCCCTAGTATTGTTCCTTATACATAAAGCAGAGTCTTTAAGAAAACACATTGTATTACATCAGGAAAGTTAAAAGGTAGTTTTATTATTACTGTTTAAATTATGGTAAGTAGTAGTAATTTATTTTCTAGGAGTCATAGTTTCATGATACAATATGATCAAAAGGAACAAAAAGACCTATAAGTTAATGTAGGAGAAAATGAATTATGGACCTGATTTCTTACTAGAGCAAAGCTGTATGGGAAACCTGCATTTTTTTTTAATCTTTAACTCCAGCTTCTCACCATTAAAAAAAGTACTCCAGAGATTTAAAGCAAATTATATACAGACTACAATATCCAGTACCCAGTAACATTGTAACATACATCAAGGTTGTCAGGGATTTATGAAATTTGTGTTTTGTTACAGGTCTTCATAGTATAGATTATCTTTCCTGGTTTCTGTCAGTTAATAAAAATGTCATTCTAAGTCAAAATACCTGAAAAATTCTCAGGGGTACCCTGTAGGTTTTATGGTTTTTCCCCACATTAACACTGTTACTCAGAACTTTTCAATATGATAATTAAGGTTTTGCTGGTAATTTATTTTTTTATTTTATTTTTTTTTAAGATTTTATTTATTTGAGAGAGAGAGAATGAGAGAGAGCACA